GGGCAAAGAACCATCATGCAATCAACCAGCAGGAACTGAGGTCCACTCAATGCCTCCTAGGGCCTCATCTGACTTATCTGCATGCCAAAGACAGGAGAGCTTTGTGCCTCCAGACAAACCGGCCTGTTTCTCCTCCTATACTGAGAAATGAGGACTACGTAACTAACTGTGTTTCTCCTTTTATGTGGCCAACAAGAAACTGAGAGTCAAGTATATCGGTCAGTTTAAACACAGACAGAGGACCCTTTCTTAGGGTCTATTTATTTGTGTACGAGTTTTCCTCCTATTCCATGCCTCTCAGAGAGGCTTTTTTTTTTTTTTTTCTTTTGCCAGAGAGCACAGACATGTGCCAAAGTCAGAGAGGAAACAGAAAACAAGCGCCACAGGGCATGGTCACACCACAATCCTTTCCCCTCTGTTTCACCTCCCCTTTGGGATTTTTGGCACACATGCATATGTACCCAGAATGTCCCTCAAGCCACCAAGTCCAAGACTCAAACCATGTGGTCAGCCATGTGGGATCCAGTTCCATTAACCACCAGGCCACAGGCTAGCCCTTTTTCTTTTCTTTTCTTTTCTTTTCTTTTCTTTTCTTTTCTTTTCTTTTCTTTTCTTTTCTTTTCTTTTCTTTTCTTTTCTTTCTCTTTTGTTCTTTAGTTTCTATTTAACGTTTTATTATATATGTAAGCTGCTTCAAATCCTTCATACAAGTAAGAGGATGTATAACTAACCAAATCAACCACAGCAAATTAAGATGCCCACTGCTCCCCATCTCTCAGCAGGCCCTGACAATTCCCCTTCTCCTCCCTTTTACTTTTTGAGAGGTTTTTGCTATAGGGTGTGTGTGCTTGCCAGACAGACAGAGACAGAGAGACAGAAATCACCCCTCAGGGGGGATGACCACGCTACAATCCCTTCTCCTCCTTTATCCTCTTGGGATCTTGGGCATACACGTACACATGCCCGGTGTGAGTTTAAGTCACTGGGTCTGGGACTCGAACCGCAGTCGAATACATGGGAGTCCAGTGACATAGCCATTACGCTAACTGCTGTTCCCGCCCTTCTCCCCTTCTCTACACACACTTACCCAGGCTCCTCTTATTTATCATGTGACCTTTTCCAATGTCCCTTAGTTAGGCATTGGAAGACTTAGGGAACCACGAGCAACTACTTCTCCCCCACTTCTCCTCTTACTCTCAGCCCTTTCTCCATCAAGCAGTCAGGATGATCTTCAAGTAAAAGTGTGATCATTAGGCAGCCCTGCTATAGCAGTCAGAGTTCTGTTTTGCAAGCAACAGAAATGCACTGGTTTTCTTAGTCTCTCTCTCTCTCACACACACACAAACACACACACCCCTAGAGGAATGTACTGGAAAGATGTTGGCAGCTTCCCCAGATTCAACAGCAACTATAGGTCTAGGCCTAAGTTGACTGTTTTTTGGCATCAACAAACAGGCCTGGATCTTACCGTGGTTGGTGTGGTAACCCATCACTATCCCTGATGGGGGGCGGGGGTGGGCACTACCACTTGGCTGGAAATGAAATCTACATCTCAATGACTCCAGGATGAAAGATCTGTGTGGACGGATCTACCAGTCTAGCCAGGATCACTGCCTATGCCCTAGTTGCTGAGGGCATAGAGTGGACCTGGCCTCTCTGTTGTCCATAAAGAAAGCCTGGGCCTATCTCCCATCAAGGAAATTCCAAGTAAGAAGGGCAGGAGCTGGGTAACCCAAATTTTAAGATATATCTACCATCTTTGCTTTTTTTTTTTTTTTTTTTTTTTGAGAGGTTTTTGCTATAGGGTGTGTACGCTCGCCAGAAAGACAGACAGAGGGATGAGAGACAGAAAGTGAGAAATTGCCCCCAGGGGAGATGGCCACACCGCAATCCATTCTCCTCTCAGGATCTTGGACACACATGCACCTGGCGTGAGTTTAAGCCACTGGATCTGGGACTCGAACTGTGGTCAGCTACATGGAAGTCCAGAGATAAAGCCATTACGCCAATGCTGGTTCCTATCGCCTTCACTTTTTATCTCCATGATTTCCATTGTACTTTGAATAAAATCTAGATTCTTTCTTTCTTTCTTTGTTTTTCTCTTTCTTTCTTTGTTTTAGGTTTTTGTTTTAGAGCACATATGCTCACAGAAGAGAGACAGAGAGAGGGAAAGTGAGAAATCACTTCGGGGGGGAGGGGATGGCAATCTCTTCTCCTCCATTCTTCTCTTGGGATTTTGGACACACATGTGCCCGGCCACCAGGTCCAGGACTCAAACCATGGAGTTGGACATGTGGGATCCAGCACCTTAACCTCCATTCTACCTGCTTGCCAGAAAAATCCAGATCTTTACCAAGGCCCAAGAGAGCCAGCCTGCTCTGGTGCACACGGAACTCTAATGCTCCCCTGCCTGGTTCCGGCCAGTAGGCTTGCTAGCCCTTGAATACACCAAGCTCCGTCCCTCCTCAGAGCCTCTGTACATCTAGTCCCTTTGCCTGAAATGCCCTTCTCCCTTTGCCCGTGGCTGGTTTTTTTCTATCCCTCATTGCTCAGGTTAAAAGGCAGCTCCTCAGAGACCTTATTTGACCCATCTGTGTAAAGTAGGTCACTCCTGTATAGTCTCTTTCATAACACATATTCCAATTTGACATTACTTCCTTAATACGTTTCCTTGTAATTTTTTTTCCCCCATCTGTTCATTAAACTGGGCTCCGACTACATGTAGGCAGAGACCTGCTGGTCTCCTCTGCTGAATCCTCCATGTGTGGTAGGGAGCCTTGCACGTTATAGTGCTGAATCAAACCTCATAGACAGATTGAGAGTGGGCTCTTTGTTGGGGATGCAAGCATGAATGAGAACAGGCCCTCCCCTCAAGAAGCAAGGAATAGTCTGGGGACGTGGACTCTTAAAACAGGTATGTCACAGTATAGAACCAGTGTGCTCCAACAGTCGTAGAATAAGGGCTCAGCGATGTCAGCTCTGGTCATAAGAAACCGCAGCATGCTGGCAGCTTCAGTCTCCCCTGTCCAGGCTGGAAAAGTCACAGAAGGCTCCCACCCAGGGCTGACCTCATGGGTATAAGACCAGCGGATCATACAGTGTCCCACACTCAGAAGGGCCTTTTGCTTGGAGTTCAATGCTCTAAGGTAGCTGTCCCAAGAGTCTTAGTAACTTTATCTTCAAATCTGCACTTCTTAAGTGAAGTCTCAGTGAACCACAGAGCATGCGCTGAGGACTTGGGGCCTTGGCTTCTGCCTTCTGCTCCACTGGGACACGTTCCAAGGCACACTCTTCCACCTCCAGGTGCTTTTCCCTGCTCCCTCCTCATGACTGCTGCCACCTTCTGGTCCCAGAGAGGGCCTGGACACAGGCTTGGGAATATATAGGCCTGCCTTATAAATTGCATGAGAGGGCCTCTTTGTATCTTATATTTACTACCAAGCAGCAACTGCAGGTGGTCCACTGAGGACACCTAACAAAAGCCTCTCTTTTTAGAGAGGTATAGACCAGCTTTAGACCCTGATAAGCCAGACTCTCTAGACTTCAGACCCCTACTGTGCTCAGGCAATAAAAGTAAGAGAACACAGGAGTAAAACGGTGCTTATAGCTAGTGTGGTAGTTAAGGTGCTGGACTTCCACATGGCTAACTGTGGTTCAAATCCTGGCAGCTTGCTTTCTCACTTTCCCATTCTCTCTCCCTGTCTCCTTCTGGTCAAATTAAAAAATAATAATCAAAAAAAAGGGAAGAGGACCAGCAGGTGGCATGGTGGTTAAGGACACTGGACTTCCACATGGCTAACTGTGGTTCAAATCCTGGCAGCTTGCTTTCTCACTTTCCCATTCTCTCTCCCTGTCTCCTTCTGGTCAAATTAAAAATAAGTAAGTAAATAAATAAATAAAGTTAAATAAAATAATTCTAGGGAAAAAAAACGGGACCAGCAGATGTTTTTATGATGTTGCTGGACTCCCATGTAGTTGACTATCGTTCAAGTCCTGGACCCAATGGCTTAAAACTCACGCTGGATGCATGTGCAAAATCCCAAGAGATTGGAAGAAAAGGGATTGTGGCGTAGCCGTGGCCATCTCCTCTGGAGGAGTGATTTCTCACTTTCTGTCTCTCTGTCTCTCCAGCAAGTGCATGTGCCCCGTAGCAAAACTCTCTCTAAAATAATAATAATAATGGGGCCAGCTTGTGGCATGGTGGTGAAGGTGCTTAAGTCCCATATGGCAGACCATGGTTTGAGTCCTGGACCTGGCAGCTTGCTTTCTCACGTTCCCTCTCTCTACCTCTCTCTCTCTAGTGAATTAAATAATAATAATAAATAAATAAAATTAATACTTTTAAAACCAATTAAGGGAACCAGCAGTTAGCATAATGGCTATGTCGCTGGACTCCCATGTAGTCGACCGCAGTTGGCGTCCCGGACCCGGTGGCTTAAAACTCATGCTGGGCGCGTGTGAATGTGTGCCCAAGATCCCGAGAGGAGAATGGAGGAGAAGGGATTGCGGCGTGACCATCCCCCCGGGGGGTGATTTCTCGCTTTTTATCTCTATGTCTCTCTCTGTCTGGCAAGCGCACGCGCCCTATAGCGAAAACCTCTCCAAAATAATAATAATAATAATTAATAAAATTAAATTTTTAAAAATGGTGTTTATGGGGACCAGCAGTTGGCGTAACGACTGTGTCGCTGGACTCCCATGTAGTTGACTGCGGTTCGAGTCCCAGACCTGGTGGCTTAAATTTACGCCGGGTGCATTTGCGCGTCTGTCCAAGATCCCATGAGGAGAACAGAGAAGGGATTGCAGCATGGCCATTCCCCTGGGGAGTGACTTCTCACTTTCTGTCTGTTTCTGTCTTTCTGGCAAGCGTACGCGCCCTACAGCAAAAACCTCTCAACAAAACAAAACAAAACAAAATAAGACAAAACAAAACAAAACCAAAAAACGGTGCTTATGAAAGAAGCCATAAGTAGATTCTTGGTGTGATTTCTCTGTTTTAGGTGACCGACCACTGGTGCTGAATTTTGGAAGTTGCACCTGACCTTCATTTCTTTTTAAATTCGACCAATTCAAGAGACTTATCGAAGACTTTAGTTCTATAGCAGATTTTCTCATCATTTACATTGAGGAAGCACATGCATCAGGTAAAGAAAGATTTTACCTCTACCTCACCCCACCCTCTCTTCTCTCTTTTTCTTCAAATCTGTACCTCGAGGTTGGGAGTTAGAGAGGAGGAGGAGGAAGAGAGAGTGAAAGAGCTGCTGTAAAATGAGTACCTACCATCCCTCAGCCTCTGTGCTGGGTTTATCCACCCCTCCCCAGCCTGACCTTCAACCAGGGCCTACCGAGAGAAGAAAGCCGTAACACTGGCCTAGCTAGGAGAGAACACTAACATTTTGGCTGAATAAACAGGAAAATCAAGGGACAGAAACTGTTTGGGCACAGGTACAAGGCTTTTAGATTTAAAGTGTCACAAGAGAAATGCTTTCTGTAGAGCCGTGTGTAAGATACAGCCACGTTGGCCCAGCACTGCTTCTCCCAATGTGGTCCCCAGATCTCTGCTGTGAGACCCAACTGGATCATTTGTTGAAAATGCATATTCCAGGGCCCCACTCCAAGATGCGTATTGCATCTTGATTTTTGTACACCAAAGTTTTAAGAACTGCTTTCAATTCAATACTGTATTCATTTAACCGACAACTTCTGTGTGCATGAAGAGTTTTTTATTTTTTATTTTTTGGTGATTTGTCAGAGGGTGCATGTGCTCGCCAGAGACAGACAGAGAGAGGGAAAATGAGAAAGAGCCACACACACACACACACACACACACACACACACACAATAGAGGATGGTTACGCCCAATCCCTTCTCCATTCCTCCTTTTGGGATTTTGGCATGCATGCACATGCATTTGACATGGTTTTCAAGCCACAGGGACTGGGCCTCAGGCGGTATAGACAGGTATGTGGATTTGGCCACGTTAACCACCACACCACCAGCTAGCCCCCTCATTGTCTTAATGGCAGCAATTTAAAATATTATCACAGGATGTGAGGCACATGGAAGTTTATTATATTATTTTATTTATGTTTTTGAGAATTTATGTAATTTTTAAAAAATAGCCTAGGTAACAGGAGAGCGAATGTAAGCATCAAGTGTCTTTTTGTGAAACACTCTTTTTTAAAAAGTATTGTTTATTTAATTTTATGTATTAATGATTATTATTATTATTTAAAATCTGCTATAGGACATGTGTGCTCACCAGAGAGAGAGAAAGAGAGAAAGCGAGAAGGCAAGTCACCGGGTCCAGGATTTAAACTGTGGTTGGCCTTGTGGGAGTCCAACGCCTTAACCACCATGCCACCTGCTAGACCCCAAGTACTCTTGTGAGAGCAGCAGCCATTAGTTAAGAACGAACTTGAGCAGGGGGACAGGTTTGTGGTCTCCATGGCTAAGAGGAGATGATATCTTGATGTTATCCCAAATCTGATTTCATCGTAGCCAGAGCTGATTTAACTGTCCTAGGGCAGTGCTTTTTGTTTGTTTGTTTGTGTAAGTGGAAGCTTAAAGATTCGATTTCATGGAAGTGAAGGGGAATCAGTGGACACCAGAGCTGGGGAGAGAAGACGGGTGGGAGAAGGTATGGAGAACTTGGCTAACTGATACAAGCGTGCAAGTAGATAAACCGTGAGTTCTAGAATACCAGGGCACTTCCAGACTTTAATGTGTGCTCAAATCGGTGATCTTATCAAACTGCAAATTCTGGCTCCGGAGGGCTGAGATGGGATCCAGGTGAGGCTTAGGCTGCTGGGCAGGGGACCACACTTTGCCTAGCAAGGTCCCAGAGGATCCAGCTTTAATCTCTAAATGAATGAATTGCAAACTGTGACAAGAGGGGTTGGACTGTCACAGCAATTGCATCCTGGCCCCGATACCTGTCTCCTAACTCAGTTTTTTTTCTGGAATCAGACCAGACAGATTTAACCCTTTCCAGAACCCAGAGCTGTCCATCTCAAGCCCATGTCCTGCCACGGACTAGTTCCTCCCTGTGTGATTAGCCGATCCCAGTGCGAAGTGTCCTTCCTCCTCCCCATCTCCTTCAAGCAGACAGACGTGGGTATGGCCCGAATCGTAGAAGTAAAATTCACAGGGCAGTGTCCGACAAGCTTAGGCAGTCTGAGGTCTGTGGCCAAATCAGTTGGCTTCCTTTTCCCCACATTTGTCAAGTAAAATATGGGGAGGCACAAAGGATAGTGAGATCACAGATTTGGGGTTTTCAGACTGGGTGTGAGTCCTAGCTCCATCGTGTGCTGGGCCACGTGACCTTGGTCAGCTTTGCTTCCATGCCTGTTTGTGTCAGTGTGAGTGTGTGTGTGTGTGTGCATATGCTATTTTAGACAGGGTCTTGTGTCATGATCCCCGGCACCCTCCAGAGCGGCCGAGACAATAGGCATGCAGCACTGCAGCTAGATTCTTAGGGTGGGCCAGGAAGCAAATCAGGCCGCCCACATGGCCTCAGCCTGCCAAGTAGCAGGACCCAGAGCACATGACTATGGGTGGGCTCTTGTCTGTTTCTACGCAACTAAAGTGTGATGACACCTACCTTGCAGAATCAATCACTGAGCAATATTTAGTGACCACCTGCTATGTGCTGGGCTCTATGCTGGGCCTAGGGATACAGAGATGACAGATACACATAGTTCCTGCCTCTAAGGAACTCACGGTTAAAACTGGGGAGGTAGATCCCTGCTCTTCCTGGGCCTCCAGATTCTCAGCTGCAAAATGAGGATGAGAATCTCTCGTTGGCCTCTCCTGGGAGGGCTGCTATGAAGCTCCAATAAGCTGATAGGTGGACAAGGTACACATTAGCTGGTGTTATTGTCACCAACAGGTCTGATAACAAGTAGGAATGCTTTCCTCTGCGGCCAGGCATGTGTATGCTGTGCATTCAGAGTTGGTCTCACTTGGAGCAAGGGTAGTGAGCGGGAAGGCCGGGAGGCACTGAAGAGGAGGAGCCTACTACACTGGTGGACATCACCCACAGAGGCAACTCTTACTGTAAACACAGGCCACATGGCCTCCCAAGGAACCTGTGGCCACATTTTCTGGATTCCAGGTTCCTCAAAAATGGGGCAAGGAGAAGGGCAAGGCCACCAGCAATTTATGGTTGTTTTTTCCATTCGTGGGGCCATGGTTGAGTCTCTATCGAACAGGCAGGACAATGGGTTGGAAGGCGGATTAAGAGGCAGGAACGCTGCTTAGGAGGGCATGAGAACAAGGGTCACTGCCAGACTAGCAGTTGTCGTCGGCTACAAGTTCACCCTGAGTGGCTTGTCGTGAGGCTGCCAGTAGAGCTGACGTAACATCACCTGCAGCAGCAGAGGTCGTAGTATCCAAACTGAGGAAAGAGAAGGCCTCGCTCTGCTCACGTGGCAGGCGGAGGCAGCGATGGTGATGACGGGCAGAATGAGAGGCCGCTTGGGGGTGGGTGGTTCAGAGAACTCAAGTATTTCACTCATCTGGTTGGAGCAAAGAACTGGAGGACTGGAAGGATGGGCAGGGGCCCGGTCACCTAGGGCCTGTGGACCACACTGAAGAGCCTGAGGTTTATCTTGAGGGCTGCAGAGAGCCATGGAAAGATCTAACAGGAAAGTGACGTGGAGATTTGCATTTTTTTTTTTTTTTGAGAGGCTTTCGCTATAGGGCACGTGTGCTTGCCAGACAGACAGAGACAGAAAGCGAGAAATCATCCCCCAGGGGGGAT